CCCTCTTTTCGAGATTAATTGCTATGCCTTTACACTTTCTATTTAGGTGTGGCAACTGGTATTACATGTTATGACGTCTGTCCATGTTTCATACAATTATTAAATATATTTCTGTATTTTGTATATTGGACATGCATATTTCTAATTTTGCTTCATTTGCAGTATCTAAGGGAAGAACTCGCTAAAATAGATGAAAGCTGGGCCGCAGCACGCTTTGATTCATTACCCCATGTTGTGCATATTTTAACATCAAAAGATCGTGAAGGCGAAGTGCAGGTCTTAAAGGAGCAGAGTGATATCATTGAAGAAGTTGTTGACGAAGTTGTTCACGTTTATCATGGTGGCTTTAACAAAGCAATTCAAAATTATTCTCAGGTTTCCCATTAATTAAATATTCATTTCCCCGCTGTGATGCGTGACATCCCTGGCAACAATGCTTTCAAATGAATTCTAGATTGTTTAGCTTGTTTGAGACAGGCTGCTCTTCCTTATCATCTTAATTGTAGTTGGATGTTTAGGCTTGTTGCATTTTTAATTGATGAAGTGAATATAATAGTCATGGCTATCTATCATTGATATTTGGAACATACCATAAGCAAAAGAAAAATAAAAGCTTGGCCCAGAAATTGATATTAAAAATCTAGCCATACCAAGCAAACAATTTTGAATAACATACTGAACATTCATGTGTATTAGGGAAAAATCCTTCTGATAAAAATTGAACTGCGATATTTATTTTTATTCTCATGGGAGCAATGGACACTATTAGGTTTGATTTCTCTTGCTCGACTTAGAAATTCTATATATCTGATCAGCGTGGTCAGTAGCAACCTTTTTTTCCCACCTTTATATTCGTGCAAATCACTTTAATGTTGTTGAGAATTAAGTGCTTGAATTAGAATGTAATTTTATGATGTAACACCATTGCAGTGGACATTTAATTGCTGTTGAGGTGAGTTAACAGAATGCTGAACCCAATTTTATTCTCACTCTGTGACAATCAAGTTTGTTGGAATCATGAAGTCATCTTGCAGAATATCGTTAGAATAGTAGAATATACAAGATAGGATTCATCGTGCATTTCGGAAAATAGTTAAGGTTACTAATTAGAATTAAATTATAGACTCAGTTACTTCAGTTTGATTGTATATTCAGGAATTCTATACAGAAGAACCCAATTTCTCTAGCCTTTACAATAATTATATTTGTAATTTCCGCAAGCGCTTAAATTTATTGATGCCACGTTGGCTTAGAAGGTGTATATTCAAGTACTGAAAATCATTCGCTGTTGCATAATAGTTTTAATAGTTGTTTTCTTGTGTTGAGTGGTGACTATTGACATGGAGAACCCTCTTTGTTTTGGTATTTATTTCTCATTGCTATTTCTAGAGTTCTTGTAAGAATGAAAATGAAATTTCATCATGCTGTGAGCAAGTAGCTGTTTCTTTTTGAAAGCATTTCAGTTCTTACGTATAGTTGATGTGAAACTTAGCTAGCTGACTCTTGCTGAGATGTTATTTTTTCATCCTCCAGATTCTTCGGTTATTCAGTGAATCTGCTCAAAGCATTGGAGCGTTAAAGGTTGATTTAGCTGAGGCGAAGAAGCTTCTCGGTGCTCATAATAAGCAGTTGCATCAGCTGTGGTATCGATCCGTAACTTTGCGACACATTATTGCTTTGTTAGACCAAATTGAAGGCATAGCTAAGGTTAGTACTTATATTCATACATTACTTTCCTTCAGTCGAAATTATGGTTGCTTCACCATGCTGCGGGTGGGAAAATGAATGAAAAATCAACTTCATTTGGCTGTTACTTAATTGTGCCGCTCATTTTATTACTGTTTTCCATCTTATGTGGTAGTCAGTCATTACAGCTTAGTGTTTGTCTTGTGCGTTAAAATGTCTTTATTGTTCAAACCTTCTGTATTGCTCTAAGAGAAGATAAAGGAATACAACACGTTTCTTGATTATTCTTTTTTCTAGCTTATGTTCGAGAATTTATAGCTAAGGCCCGCTTATGTATTCGTTAGATGTTTTGTCATGTAGTTTTCGTATGTGCAGTTGCTCCACCACCTCAAATACACTTAAGCACACAATATGTTACTTAATGTTTCTAAAGATTGGATGCTTAACCCGCCTCTTAAGTCATTGTTATACTATGAAAGATACCGGTGATGCAAAAATGTGATGGTTCTTGTTCTATTGAACAATAGGAAAGTAATGAGCCTATATTGACTTTTAATCTATTTAGAAATTCAATTTGTACTACAAACTCGAATGAATTCAAAGTGGTGTTATATGTATTGTTGGAATATCACTTATAAATTGTTCCCATTGTTTCTCTCCCATTATCATTTATTAATTATTGGTTTTGGGACGGAATGTCACTCTAAGTTCACTCTATGGTCTAAGGTGGTAAGTAGGCTCGCCTTTTGAGGTGCGCTTCACCCATATGGAACCGCAACCCTTCCCCCGAATGTATAAAATCTAACATGGTATCAGGTTGATACATATCTGTATTTAAGGCGTTTGGGAATTCAAGTGATCTGACTTGATCGCTTGTTTAGCCGTAAATTTTTTAGTTCACCGCATTCCTACGGTAGAAAAGGTTTCAAATGTGCTCGTCGCTGTGTCTGGGGATGCTTGGACGTATTATTTTGGATTCCGGGTTAATGCACTATTTTTTTGACTATCGCTTGCCATGCTTCGCTTCAACACTAGGATAGCTATGAATGCCTGTGAGGTTCTGTAGGATACTCGACAAACTGACTCTATTGACGACTATATTGCTGAATTTGAAGCTTGTGTGGTTTAGGTGCCGGATCTGCGGGTCATTATTTAGGCCATTATTTAGGCCAGTTTTTGGGCGGTTTACGCGAGGATATTCACATCCGTATATAAGATGATCCATCCATGAATGTGTATGCAACCATTTGATTGGGTCGCCAAGTCGAACACGAATTGAATTTCCAGAACCATCCACCAAATAAAGAATAACCACGTCCCTCCAATTTTTTGTCCATGCTGACCCGCCTTAGCCGACCACTCAGCGCCCCACCATTCTCGGCACAGGTTCAACAGGTTTCATAATCATCCTCAGCTCCTTTGGCCTCTTCGAGATTGGGTCCGCCTAAGCACATCATCTATAACCTTGTAACCTATCCATTGCAGAATTATCGCGAGCCTTCCAATCCTTGAACGTGATGATTGAAGCGGATGTCGATGAGGTTCTCTCCGGTAGAGAGTTTGGATAACTTGACACATGTAGCATGGGTTTTCGGCAATATAGCCTGGAGGACAAGGCTGTTATGACCAGGAGAGTATTGATGTGTATCTATATTTAAATTTCCATATTTTATTAGGGCCAAAATAAGGTAATGGGCCAGACTTTTGCTTAGGAACCCTAATTTGTTTTATTTAAGTACTAGGGTTTAGGTCTCTTAAGTTTTGGAGAAAAAGAATAGAGGAGTCAAATTTTGATTGCTGTTTGCGCTTGGGGTAGGCTGTTAGTCCCTGCTCGTTCACTGCTCTGGTAAGCAAAAAATGCTTCCGGCACAAACGAACACTTTTAGGATGAAAGAAGAAGATTGTGAACAACTCAATGTATTTAGTATTAAGTTTTTCTGTGTATATACAAATGAAAAACTGCATCCCTATTTATAAGAACTAAAAACAACTATTCTAGTGGATTTCCTAGAAATTTCTTGAGCTGAAAAATCAGCCTAAAATGGCTGCTATGAAAGTGCCATGAAAGTGCAATGAAAGTGTAATGAAAATGCAAGGAAGTTGCACTTTACTAACAAGGAAACTGCAGGATTATATCTTACAATTCTTCCCCTAATCCTGCTGTTCTTGCTTGTTTCCCACCATTCCAATCTTGGTCCTTAGCTCCATGAACCGAAGACGGCCGAGTGGCTTGGTAAGGATGTCTGCGAGCTGCCGTCCGGATTCGACAAACTCTAAAACAATCTGTCCTTCATCGATACAATCACGGATGAAGTGAAAACGAGTATCGATGTGCTTGCTCCGGTCATGGAGGACTGGATTTTTTGCAAGGGCAATGGCAGGCTGGTTGTCCACCATCAGAGCTGGTGGACGAGCTTCCTCGCCAGTCAGTTCGCCCAGCAACCGACGCAGCCAGACCGCCTGGCATGCCGCTGTGGCTGCCGCCACGTACTCCCCTCGCACGTAGACAGCGCCACAATCTTATGTTTCAGCCACTGCCATGAGATTGGGGCCGATCCAAGGAAGACGAGCACACAGGAGGTGCTCTTCTGCCCATCAATGTCGCCTGCCATGTCTGCATCGCTGAAAACCGTGAGTCGCAGCCCACTTCCGCCGCCAGTCTTGGGAAAAATGATGCCCTGGTCCACTGTCCCCTTGACATAGCGCAACAACCGCTTTACCGCAGCCCAATGATCCTCTCGGGGTTCCTCCATGAAGCGGCTGACATAGCCCACGACGAATGCGATATTTGGCCTCGTGTGGACTAGGTAGCGTAGCCCGCCGATGATACTCCGGTAGAGTGTTGCATCCACCTTCTCCGCGGTGCTGGCTTTCATCAGCTTCAGCCGCTCCTCCATCGGAGTCGCACATGACTTGCAGTCAGCCATGCCGCTCCGCTCCAATAGCTTCCTTGCATATGCACGCTGGCAAGGAGTGATGGAGTCTCTCCCCGCTTCACCTCGATGCCGAGGTAGTAGGAGAGCTGCCCGAGATCGCTCATGCGGAAACGAGCTGCCATCTCGCGCTTGAAGCCGTTGATTTCCCCTTCTCTTGCCCCGGCCCCGGTGATGATCAAGTCATCCACATACACGCCGACGACGAGCTCCTCCTTCCCCCGTCGACGCGTATAGAGCGCGTGTTCTGTCGCGCAGCGCGTGAACCCAAGCGTACCCAGGGTGGCATCAAGCTTGGCGTTCCACGCTCGCGGGGCTTGTCGCAGCCCATAGAGTGCCTTCCGCAGTCGCAACACCTTGTGCTCCTCTCCCTTGACGGCGAAGCCCGGGGCTTGCTTGACGTAGACAGTCTCCGCTAGCTCGCCGTTGAGGAAAGCCGATTTCACGTCTAGGTGATGAATGCGCCAGTCCTTCGCTGCCGCCATGGCCAACAGTAGGCGAACTGACTCCATGCGCGCCACTGGTGCAAAAACTTCCTCAAAGTCGATGCCCTCACGCTGGACGAAACCGCGAGCAACGAGGCGCGCCTTGTGCTTGAATATGGCGCCACACTCGTCCCGCTTGACCTTGTAGACCCATTTGAGCCCGATTGGATGACAGGCTTGAGGTGGATCGACGAGCTCCCACGTCTCATTTTCCTCGATCGCCTTCATCTCCTCTAGCATAGCTCGTCTCCAACTGGCATCGCGCTCGGCCTGCGTGAAAGTCGATGGCTCCTCTGCGTTGACGAGGAGTAGCTCCTGATCGTCGAGTAATCGGCTCGCCAAACCTGGTACAATCGAGTTGCCAACGAGGTTGTCCATCCTGCGAAACCTCACTTCCTCACCATCGTGGAAGGCATCCACATACTCGTCGATGTTGCTTGGAGGAGAGGTGAACTCAACTGTCGTCGCTGGAGGTATCCCCTGTCCTGCCGCAGCAGGGGACTGTGGTGGGGGCGTGTGCGCAGCTGCTGGTGGAGACTCTTCGCCCGTGCCCATGGCCGGACGTTGCGGCTCAACTGACGCAACCACAGTTGCTGGACTTGGCGCGTCCGCAGCTGGCTCCTCTGATCCCGCATCTCCTCCTCCGTGGATCACCAAATGCTCGATAACAAACGTACCGCCGACGCCACGGGCTTCCCCCGTGCCAGGATTCTCCCAATCCCAGGCTGCCATTTCGTCGAACACCACATCCCGCGAGACCACCACCTTGCCTCCACGTGGATCGTAGAGCCGTTAGGCCTTGCTCCCCTCCTCGTAGCCTAGGAACACCATCGGTGTGCTCCTATCCTCAAGCTTGGACAGGAAGGGCTTCGTCTTCTTCACATGGCCAATGCACCCGAACGTCCTCAGAAACGAGATGTCGGGCTGCCTGCCATGCCAAGCTTCGAATGGTGTCATGCCCTTCAGGGCCTTCGTGGGCGCGCGGTTGAGGATGAACACCGCCGTGCTCACAGCCTCTCCCCAAAACTCCGCCGGCATGCTCTTTGCCTTCATCATGCTTCGAGCCATGCCCACCACGGTTTGATTGCGCCTCTCCACTACGCCATTTTGTTGTGGTGAGTACGGCGCAGTATGATGGCGAACCACCCCCTGATCTGCACAGTACGTGGCAAATTCCACAGATGTGAACTCACCACCGCGATCCGTTCTTAGTACGCGCAGCCGCTTCCCGGACTCTGCCTCAGACCGCGCCTGGAACCGCTTGATCGCCTCCGCCGTTTGATCCTTACTCGTTAGGAGATGCAACCACATGAAACGGCTACAGTCGTCCACGAGCAGCAGGAAGTAGCGCCTTCCGTCGTGCGTAGCCGACGTGATCGGTCCGCAGAGGTCGCCGTGGACGAGTTCGAGGACGTCCGCCGCACAATACTTGGCCGCCTTTGGGAAAGGCAGCCGCCTCTGCTTCCCTGCCAGGCAGCTGTCGCACAGCTCGCCTGCGTGCTCGATGTGTGGGAGCCCGCGCACCATCTTCTTCAGCCGACCGAGTGCGTCGAAGCTCAAATGGCCGAACCGAGCATGCCATAGCCAGGGCTCCTCAGTGTGCCGTACCGCCAAGCACACCGGTTGCTCCACTTTCAAGTCGAGGAGGTAGAGGCGATTCCGAGAACGCTGGACCTTAGCCAGCGGCTGCTGTTCCCGGTCTCTGAGCTTTAGCACGCCGCCTTTGACAAGCACCTCGTAGCCGTGCTCGTCCAGTTGCCCGATGCTGACGATGCTTGAACGCAACTGCGGGATATAGTACACATCCGTCAATGCGCGGTGCACGCCGTTCTGACTAGTGCTGTAAACGAATCGAACCGAACCGAGCTTTGGTTGTTCGAGCTCGTGTTCGTTTACGTTCGAACAATATTCGTGTTCGTTTGTTTATTTTTCGAGCAAAAGGTTGTGTTCGAGTTCGTTCGTTTAATTGTTCGCCAAAGTTCGAGTTCGTTCATGTTCGAATAATTTAATATATAAACTTTTAAAATATGTTTGATTAACTCGAAATTTGTTCGTTCGAACTCGAAAATAAAAGAATAAAATAAAAATATTTTTATATTTTAGATTTTTTATTAAAAATATTATATAAATATATACAAAACAGATAAAATTATATTAAATTTTAGATTTTTATTAAAATATATATAAATATATAAAAAATTTAAATAAAATTATATTAAATTAATGTTCGCGAATATAATCGACGTTCACGAACGAGCTCGTGTTCGTTCGATTATTAAACGAGCCTAATTTCCTGTTCGAACTCGGCTCGATTAATAAACGAACGAGCTTTTGTCGAACACGAACGAGCTCGAACGAGCTTTTGTTCGCGAACGTTCGGTTCATTTACAGCTCTAGTTCTGACACCTGAAGATGACAGTGCCGCGACCTCGAATCTCCACCTTCGAGCCGTTGCCAAACTTCATCGTCCCCGTCACGCCGTCATCAAGCTCGGAGAAGGCCTCCTTGGAGCCGGTCATGTGGTTGCTGGCGCCGGAGTCCAGGTACCACCTCTGCTCCATGCCACCGCCCATTCGTCCAAGATGGACTTGGGCACTCGACTCGTCGAGGTGAACGGCCTGCAGTGCCTTCCCCTGCTCTGTAGCCGCCGCCTTGACTTCTTCCAACTCTGGCTCGACGTCGTGCAACGTGCAGGCCGTTTCCATGAGAAGAGCTGGCTCCTCGTCGTCCACCTGCGCGAGGTGCGCCTCCCTCTTCTCCTTCTTGGGATTCTAGCAATCCCGGGCCCAGTGCCCTGTCTTCCCGCAGCGTCGACAAGTGTCCTTATCGATCGAACGTGCGTTGTTGTCGTCCTTCTTCTTCTGCTGGGCCTTGCCACGGCGCTTGCCGTAGCCGCCATGGTCGCTCGCGCATACGAGCTGCCCATTCTTCCTCGGTCAGTAATAACTTACCGCTGGTAGTTATCGTCGCCGTCTCCACGCGGTCATCCACTGCCCGCAAGCGCCCAGTCACATCCTAAATCGTGAGGGTGGACATGTCGATCAACGTCTCGATGGAGAGCGCGATCTGAGCATACTTAGGCGGCACAACGCGCAAGTATTTCGCGACCGCCTCCTCGTCGGTGATGGTGACGCCGTGCGCCGCCAGCTGACTGACGAGCGACTGCAAACGGAGCGAGAAATCCTCCACAGCCTCGCCGTCGCGGAATGCCAACGCCTCGTACTCCCGCCGCAGCTGTTGCGCCTTCGCCTTCTTTGCGCGATCAGACCCGATGCGCATGGCCTTGAGGGCGTCCCAAGCAGCCTTTGCGGAGTCCTTTGCGCCCAACGACTCCACGTACTCGTGAGGCACAGCAGACAGAATCGCTTCCATCGCTGCACAGTCCTCTTCTTCATCCTTGGTGCCTTCCTCGATGGCCCGCCAAAGCTTGCGCGCACGCAACTTTACCTTCATCAGCACCGCCCACTCGCCGTAGTTTGTGCGTGTGAGGACCGGCCAGTTGGCCCCGCCAACGTCTCGCACGGTCCTGTGGATGATGACCTCCTGACCTCCTGACGCGGTGAAGCGTTTGCTCCGCTCCCTTTCACCATCGACGCAACATCTTGGCTTGCCATTGCTCTGATACCACTTGTTAGTCCCTGCTCGTTCACTGCTCAGGTAAGCAAAAAATGCTTCCGGCACAAACGAACACTTTTAGGATGAAAGAAGCAATGTATTTAGTATTAAGTTTTTCTGTGTATATACAAATGAAAAACTACAGCCCTATTTATAAGAACTAAAAACAACTATTCTAGTGGCTTTCCTAGAAATTTCTTGAGCTGAAAAATCAGCCATTTTAAAATGGCTGCTATGAAAGTGCCATGAAAGTGCAATGGAAGTGTAATGAAAATGCAAGGAAGTTGCACTTTACTAACAAGGAAACTGCAGGATTATATCTTACATAGGCTCGCCTGTAATTGTTTTGAGTTCTTTTTGTCTTCTTTTGTTTTCAATTCACTATCAATTTTGGTTTTGAATTTCTTCTCGCAATCCGCTCCTCTATCACAGGCCTGAGCTTGGACCTGTGATGACTTGATTAACCAAGCTTCTGGGATGGTTAAAGGAATCACAAGTGAGGGAGCGTGTTGGAATAACAATTGTTTTGACTTGTTACACATTGATTAAATAGGGAAAATGGACCTGGTTTATAAGTCTAGAGCTATCTTCCCATTACCAATTGGTTTTGGGATGGAACCTAACTAATATGGCAACTAGGCCCTCCCCCTTGACGTGTGCTTCACGCCTTCATCACTATGAGACAACACCCCTTCCCTGAATATATAAAATCTAACATCTAACATTTTGAAAGATTTGGATCATGTATTCCTTCATCACATGCTTCCTCAAAGATTATTGTTTAGAGCTTTGTGGGAGTTGGGTGTACAGTGTACTTGAGTAGTTGCATGTCTTCTTCAAGTAAATGTGTTAAGGGTTTTGTTTTTCTAGATGTCTTCTTTTTGCAATGTGATATCCCCATGCAATCTTTTTGGTCGCTGGTTTGGAAGGAGTGAGAGAATTTTTGAAGATATGAAGGACTTTTCAGGGTAGGTGTGTAGGATTAATTTAAGTGCGCTTCATTTTCTTGAATCCTCTGATGATCAGGAACTTGTTTGCATATGAAATTGGCAGAGATTAGAGTTGTGTCCCGATGGTTTACTGTTCTGCTTGCTTTTGCACATCGGACTATAGTATAGTGTACCATTCAATCTCTTGCAGTTTTGCTTTTGCAGTTACTTGATGTATGTAAAAAATGCGTAGGTACCTGGTCGTATTGAAAAGCTTCTTGCTGAAGGACAGTTTTATGCTGCAGTGCAGCTACATGTTCAGTCAGCTTTAATGCTTGAGAGAGAAGGTCTTCAGACGGTTAGATATTTCTTTATTTTTATTTCGTAACTTGTGCAAGATTTTTGTCAGTCTTCAGTGATCAAATTGATAATTCTCCACTTTCACAATAAAGCTACTGGAGTTCAAATTATTTAGTTCTTTTGTTGGCTGATAAAGGGGTTTCTGTGTAAGTAATTGTTTGTTTAGCTTGTAGTGTACGTGATTCAGAATTTCTGATTCTGGCCTCAAGTAAGTTTACATTGTTAAATATTTTATGTGGCTTTAGATTTGGCCGAAAAATCAATAATTAACCCAAATAGTTTCTATTGCAATGCTGATATAATATTGAGTGTTATGGGAGTGGTTGAAATGCTTTCACAATGACAATAATGGATCTAGAGTGGGTCTTCTCCAACAAAGTAACCTTCTCCAGCATATTCCAAGAATTTTTTTTTTTTTTTTTTTTTTTTGTATTTCTTCAGATCATTAAGAGTTGCCGTTTCTATCAAAGAAATTTTCTTACACATGATGATATCATAACGAGCATGGGAAAGAAAGAAAATAGAACGTTCATGAGGATAAGATGATATTGTAATTTTGAATTAAATAATGATGTGTTCTGGCTCAAGTTGAAAGGAGAGGGTATGCTACTCATGAACTGCCTGAAGCTGATGTTCTATCTGGGCCAGGTTGGTGCTCTTCAAGATGTTCGGTCTGAGTTGACAAAGCTGAGAGGAGTAATCTTCTATAAGGTTTTGGAGGACTTACATGCTCATCTGTACAATAAGGGTGAATACAGGTACTTGGGTTTTTTACTGACTTCAAACATAAAACCAGTAAACATTCAATTGTTGTTATTATAAATAGAGGAAAATGGTTTTGGCAACTTAAGTGTGCCTGGTTTACACATTGTACCAAACTATTTTCTTGATTCTGTGTGCCACCTACTTGGGTGGCACACAGAATCAAGAAAATAGTTTTACAGTTTATTGTGGTACCTCCAAATTACAGAATATTCTGCTGCTTTTACATCATGTACTAAATTTTGCACATTGCCATCCAGACTAGGTCTAGAGTCTAGACAAATAGTATATAAATATTTGGGGGTTCAACTCTCTCATTTTTCATGCTTACAAATACAGAGGATTTATATTTCCCTTAGAGAGCTTCCATTCCATATGCATTTTTTTGTTTGTTGTCTAGATCCTCTTGTTTTTATTTCCCGAAGATCAGATTTTTTTCTCTGAACATTTTACTATGTTTTTTTACCATTTTCTACTGTAAGCTGATTTCTTCCTCTTGAATTCCACCTTTCCTTGTGGCAGCTCAGTTGTTTCAGGAATATATGAAAATGATGATGCAATTCTAACATCCAGAGACACTACATTTTCCATGAATTATTCACGCTCTCTCTCTCGAAGGACCAGGTTGCTGAAAGGAGACAATAATTTTGGAACTCATGGTAATGGAGATGTATTGTACAGACCTGGGTCAGTTGATGGAGGGTGAGGCAGAGTCTTATTTTCCCACGCATTCTTTGCGTAATCGATTCTTTTTCAATTTTCATTCCTATTTCTGAGATTTCTTTTGGAATATTTTTTGTCTGCTACGTTTAATAAATTAACTTTTGCTTTTCATGTCTTTGCTAAAACTAAATGCTGATCTGCAGCTGCTATAGTCTTTTGGAAAACAATCTTCTTTCTCATCTGCATATCCCCAACTCAGATGTGCCCAACACCCATAAAGAAATGATAAATAATTAATAAATGTTGCATTCATAAAGTGCTTGTGCAACAGTAAGATATATCAGAATCTCTTTGATGTCGGCTGTTCCCATGTCTGCGTCTCACTTAATCATTCAATGATGTCAGTGAGGATGGCACAATGGAAACACATGATGATGCTACATCCAATGGATATACTCCTTCAATGAGGACAAATGGTGGTGATAATAGTGGGAAGGATGCAAAAGCTGTTTCTCGTCAAATTCCCATGTGGTTATCAGATTCCACTCCTGACGAATTTGTTGTATGATGCTATACTTACATTAAAATAGTTGGGTTAGAATTGGCCTATTATTCCAAATGAGCTTAATTGCCTATATGATTTCAATGCAGGAAGCAATAAGAAAGAGTGATGCTTCTTTACATGTAAAGTATTTACAGACTATGGTTGAATGCCTCTGTATGCTTGGGAAAGTTGCTGCTGCAGGTGCTATAATATGGTATGTTCTCAATTTTTTTTTCATAATGGAATTAGCTGATATGCAAATTCGGCCTAGTTACAGTCTAAGTAGCCCAGCATCACTTGCTTGAATGTCATTTGGGGTACAGAAATAGGTTCAAAATAACATATTGTGAAAATGAACTTGGAGAATGGTTCAAAAGCATTAACAAATTGAGCTCATTTTCTGTCCAGTTTTATTCAGAAAATTGAATAATGAAGAAAAAGGTTATGGAATCGGAAGTTTGTGAACCATAGACACTGGAATTGTCTACTCATTATATAGTTGTTTACTTATTTTTTTCTGAGCAACATTTGTTTGTTAAATATGAGTAAAAGAATCATGAAATATACCAGAAACAAGATACTTGATATTCTTGTTTATTGCACACTTCTATTTTAGAGCGAACATGTGAGACAAAGTTACTTAATAAGTTCCTTTTATGTATGGTATAGCGTTGCTTTGGATGTGTAGATAAATGGTCGTAGCAAACCCCAAATATGTCCATGGGTAGCATTTCTCTTCAAAATTCTGTCCTCATCACATCAACCGTGGCTAGACTCATTATCCTAAAATTCCAATTAATAGTAAAATTAAGTCATTTGATTTGGGTGAACTGTGGAAGCTTTAACATCTATATGTTTTTTATTATGTATTTTAATTTTTAATGATATTAATTTTGGGGTAGGGCTTACTTTTTGTATTGGAATTGAGGGTAGATCATAAGTATTTTTGTTTCAAATTTGGTATGATATCATCAAGATTCAAGAAACATGAGTTTCATTTCTTTGCTTTTCCCCTTGGTCAGAGTCTTGTTTCTTATCATTATCAATTGATTTCCATTTTCAACCTTCGCTTTGCTGATATAATTTGAATTTTACTGATCTTTCAGTTAGGCTTTTTCTATCCTTCTTCCGTTGGAACATGTGTTCTGAGAAACTATACGTAATGGGAACTATATCTACTGACATCACATTATCTACAGGGAGTAATTTACTAATGTAACATACACGAAATTTGAACTCCAGCATTGTTCATTGTGTGGTAAAGGAAGGGTCACACTATTGATATGATTATATATTCCTATTGGTATGAAATGAAAAATATTTTTATGAGTATTTTAACCACAACTGAGTCCCTATTTTGACATTAATCATTTAAACTACGAAGTAACTGCACATCTTAAATCATTTTTTCAGTAGCCACTGCAAATCATAAATCATTTATTTCTACAGTATGCTTGTTGAATCCTGTTCCATAACTCTGCTGCTTGTCTCACGTCAAACATTTTCTTTCTTCCTTTCTGCTGTGTGCTCACAGCCAAAGATTGCGTCCTACTATCCATGAGATTATTACTACCAAGATCAAAGCACAGGCAGGATGTTTCAATGGGGCGATGCCTAGTCTTGGCCATGCTGCCTTGCCTACTGTTGCAGCTCTACACTATCTCAAAGGGCGGCTAGAAACTCGCCATTTGCCAAAGCAGAAACGTCAGAATGGGGTTTCACTCTCTGGAGCTTTAACGACAGTGAGCCCTGTCTCGCCTGTAATGTCTCCAGCTGGAGCAGCTCAAATTGCAGCCCAAGAACTTCTTGACTCCATATTAGACACGGTCGTTAGGATTTTTGGTAGGATTATATATCAAGCTTTTGGTAGTTACATGTTTTTGTACTCTGCTGCCACCTTGATTTTCTACAATGAATGGTTATTCAGAAAACCATGTTATTGTTGGTGAGCTACTTGAGTCAAAGGCTTCACAACAAGTTAACATGAACACTCCAAAAGCAATGGCTGCTGATGTCAGTTGGAGTCACGATTCTGATGCTTCTCATGATACTGGTGGCTATACGATTGGCTTTTCCTTAACTGTTCTACAGGTTCTTCTGTTTACATGTTAATTTGCATTCTTTGAACCTTACTGAAACAAATTGCAGATAGAACATTATCTAATTATATTTTATCGCCATGCATGATGATAGAGTGAGTGCCAACAACTAATATGTGAAATCTTACGGGCAACTCCTGAAGCTGCCTCTGCTGATGCTGCTGTTCAAACTGCTAGACTCGCCAGCAAGGCCCCCTCTAAAGATAAGAGGCAAGCATTTATGGGTCTATTTTTTCATCTGATGTACTCCTGCATCTTATAAACGTTTCCTTCTTGTGGTGCTTATTCTTCTACCTTGAAATTGTGTGCACTTCGTAAGAAAGTAATATAGGGTAAAAAAAAAGTACATATAAATGTAGATTTATAGTGCATTTCGCATTAAACAATTTTGATAATTATATTGTATATTTTCAGTTAAATATATAAGAGACTATTTAGAATATCGATTAACGACATGGGAATGCTATTATCTAATTTTATGCATAAGACCCTTTCAAAATAATATAGAAAATAAATCTTGATTTCTTGTAGCAAAAAATATAAAAAATACTAAAGATAGCAAAGATGTTTTGAGAGGAAATAATACCATTTATAGACTTGCCCCAGTTAGTATACATAGATTTTGCGGTTTTGTGCCTCTGGCCTCTTTTGCCTATTTGCACAAGTGCAATGCTGAGTTGCATGTGCTATTTTTAAGTGTTAACAGTTTATTTTCAAGTGTAACATATACAGTGTTTGTAATGTCCATCTGACAAGCATATTAGTGCAATACACGTCGAACACAACCCCTTATGACAAATTTAGCACAAAATTTGTTGTGCTGGATATATTGGAATTTTTGCGAATTACTGTGGAAATCACGCTGCTTGGAGATAATGACATTAATGGTGTTAGTAGTTATTTGTCGGAGGGGCTGTTGTACAGATTTTGCTAATTGACATATATTGCTGCTTTGACAGATCTAGGCACTTTCTCTTTTGGAAACGTGGCATCATTCTGGACATGTGTTATATTTCCTTTTTGAATTAATAACTCCTGCTATAGCCACAAAATAATGACTGTTGCTTGACCAATGGCTTGTAGGGATGGATCAGAAGATGGTCTCACCTTTGCATTTCGCTTTACAGATGTTACTAGTGTTTCCGTTCCTAACCAGGGTATGAGCTAGCTGTATGATTTGTTTGTTTACCACTGTTGGAAGCTGTTCTTATATATTGCTCTCTCTTGTATGCGAGCTGAGTGGCCACGTGGTTTCTGAAATTTCATGGATGACGCTTTGGTATCACTTTCTTGTTATCTGATGTCGTATTAGTGTGGCAACATTTATTATCTTCTGCATGAATTATGCTATGATTGCAGTTACTATCGTTTGGTATCATTTATCCTTTTCTTTTGTAGAAAAATTAAAATCATTCATGTTCTGACACTATAATGAATTAAAAAGAATCGCTCCCTTTGTAACTACGATGTTGCTTTTGGATCTATCATGTCGCTGTGTAGTGTCTGAATTAAAAGTGTCGGGGTGTCTACACTGTTATTCAGCTAACTATGATATATACCTTGGGTTTATACAAACTTGTTACCTTTACCCTGAGCTTCTAGCTCAACTGGTAATTCATTACCGTCTGCAAGGGCATTCACTAGGGTATACGGTGCGTTTATGGTTAGCTTTCACCGTCATGCTTGGGAAGGAGTAGATATGAAGTTCACACAAAAGAACAGTAAAACTTGTAGCTCTTCTGTTGCATAATGAGGTCTAGTGCATTTGCAGTGTGAGATGCCTCAGGAAATTTAATGTCCATATGTAGAATCCATGTTGATGTTTCTGCACCCATTGGCTGTGGGTAAAGTTTGTCTCATGGTATAGAACTTGTCAAGATCGGTTTGAACATTGTGGTTCAGCTTTCCTAACTGTGCTGGACTTGTAGAAACAAAGTGATCCATGTGGTTCTTATTGGAGAGGCAGTGATTCTTTTCAGCAAATATGATAAGGAATAAAGTTCCACGTATATACAGTTATTGAACCCCAGTCCTAGAGTTCTATTAGAAAACCATGCTTAACACCCAAGGAGTATTTTGATTGAGTGAGGGGCGAAAAGATCAAATAAATATCTTAAAGTCTACCCTGAAGGGTCCTTTCAGGGTTCCTCAGGCCAATTTGCCTACCACTAATATCAATATTCAGATCCGTCCTCTAATTTCCAGCCACCACTATGTAAACTAACCCTAGTAATTAATTATTAGATCTTAAAGCCCATTTATGTGCCCACTGAATTAACTAATCTTTTATACTGAAAGAATAATAATATGGCCTGCACCTAAGATCCAGCAACAGGCTGGTTTGCCTTCGCGAATAGACTTTTAGAAATCGATCTTTAACATATTTTTTACCTGCTCGACCTCTTCAATCTGTCCTTTTCTGCTGCAATTTCTAGATGACTAGTTTACTCCACATTGATATTTTTATCGTTTTTTGCTTAGGGACCGACCTTATCCGCCAAGGATGGAGAAAGGGTCCGAATGCTGTCCAAGAAGGTTATGGTTCTGGAGCAGTGTTACCAGAGCAAGGGATATATTTAGCAGCATCAGTTTACAGACCAGTACTGCAGGTATAACTAAGGTGGATGCGAAGAGAAGTGTTGTGTTAATGATCTATTCTTTCGATCATCATGACAGCAACACTTCATTCAGTTTCCTTATTTCCTTCCTTACATGTGCAGTTTACAGATAAAGTTGCATCGTTGCTTCCTCAAAAGTTTTCCCAGTTTGGGTGAGTACATCAAATGCTATTTTAAACTTGGTTAATGTGTACAAACATTACAATGACTGTGTCTGGTGTAATCATTGATTTTTATTTTCTGGAGTACCTCAGAAATTTATATGCACATACCATTACAGACATCACGCGAGTTCATGTAGTAACATAAAAACTGTTGTATTTGGCACCTTGATATATTTTCAAACTCATTTACTTCCACCAATCAAAAAATATATTCATCCATATCTTCTCCACTCAAAATTTTCAATACATTTTTTAAATGAATAATAAGTTATTACTACACATTTATTCATAAATTTAATGTTCACCCACTCCCATATTTGTAATTACCTATAATTATTTTACTATTTTCCCATCACATCACGATTAATTATTATTCTTTACATCACATCACTTTACATTAAAAAAAATCATTAGTTCGTCCACTTTTTTTTTTCCACCAACCAAATTTTTTTTCACCCATAAAACTATATCAATCGCACCGGTCACTGGAATCAAAGTATTTGGCCCAGTGTTCTACATAAAATCCAACTCTAATGTAAGAACGTATATGATGCTCGAATGTTATCAGTTCTGGTATGTAGACCAAATAATACAATAACAAGCAAAAGTTCCTAGATTCATGGAGATATAGAACAACTTATAAGTTATCATGCTTTCATATCCATCACAACTATTCTAATAATTACATATCCGATTTCACCTATGGACTAATATGCAGGCATACATTTCATCAACTGAGTACGGTGCTACTATCTATGTAGTGATGTTATTTGTAATCATTGCATTATAAAAATACTTGGCTAATTTAAAAAAAAAAAATTCACTTATTAATGATACAATAGCATCACGCACTGTTAAATATAGCATCATATACAGTTTTTACAATTCTTGCACTTTGTTCTTAATTTTAGTCATATACATATATATGATAAAAACAGATTAGTAGGCATAGTGGCAGTTAGATTTAATAATAGGCTCTATGTGCGTTGTGATTTAATGTGGCTGCAGCATGGGTATAGGATTGAATTTTGATTCTCTACTGTTTCTTCTATCATTCTGCACTAATGTTACTCTTCATGCTAATTATTTGCCTGCCACCACTGAACAAATTTTGCAGCAATGATGGATTGCTTGGATTTACTGAGAACTTCTTGAAGGATCACTTCTTACCAACAATGTTTGTAGATTATCGGAAAAGTGTACAACAAGCCATATCAAGCAAGTCTTTTCAACTTTTTTTTTTTTTTTTTTTGCTCGTCATTGATGGATCTACTTGACATCCATTGTTATGGGGCTATGAGGCGGTTAAAAATTCCTAATCAGCAATCATTATTCAGGTCTGATTTTTTTTTTTTTTTTCTCTCTGAACAGGTCCAGCAGCATTTCGCCCGCGAGCTAATGCAGCTGCCTCTTACACTCCATCAATTGAGAAAGGACGCCCAGTTTTACAAGGATTATTGGCAATAGATTACTTGACAAAAGAGGTATCATGACGTCAGACATATCATTACAAGAAAGAAACAAGAGCATGCCTTATGTTTAGTCTCTTCTCTACAATTTGTTTAGGTACTTGGGTGGGCGCAAGCAATGCCAAAATTTTCCAGTGATCTAGTCAACTATGTGCAAACTCTCCTTGAAAGAACGTACGAAAGATGTCGAACTTCATATATGGAGGCATGGAAGTTTCCTTTTCTCATTCAGTTTTCTATTTCAAAAGTTTATTTAAATTATATAGCTAGCATTCTTTTGAGTTTGTCATGGCAACAGAATTGAACATGCTTGTACTCTACCTTGCATCTTTTTGGTCTCCCGCCGACATATTTGGCCTTTCAGAAATTCATCATACTTGAATTACCACAGTTAGATGATCATGTTCTTCGAATCCTGGTTAACAATATGGGAAGCATAGTCCTAAACTTCATTCATAAGATTAACTTCCACTTTGATCTTGGATTAGTGGGAAACCCTAATCAGGTGCAATCTCTCCTTCAAACCCTTTGGTAATTCAGGTGAATGGAGATATAAGACATAAATTAGTATTGACGACCTGAGAAGTTGTCGTGATTAGAAAAGGAAGGAAACAGAAGGTTATAAAGTTCATTCTGCAAGAGTCGTTGCATTCTTCTTTTGTTGTGAAGCATCAACTGTGGTCTTCTTTTAGTATTGTTAATGTTTATAACTTTATAAGTTTATATATTCACACACACACACACACACACACACACACAAACACATATATATTTATTTATTTATATCATGTTTGAAATATCAGGCAGTTCTTGAGAAGCAAAGTTATATGCTTATTGGAAGACACGACATCGATAACCTGTTGCGACTTGATCCCGCCAGTGCATGTTTACCGGATTCTCTAAACCAAAGAATCAGAGATACTGATGCATCTGATACTGAACTCACTGAAGTAGAGACACAATTAAGTGAGATACTGCTGAATTTAAGGCCTATTAGGCAGGTAATGTATGTGTCTGAGTATTGTCAATATATCTTTGAACACATAAATGGCATGTGAGGTGTCTTGATGATCTTACTGAACATTTAGCTTGTGTAGGTTATTATGATTTTACTTTAATTTCTGCAGGAGAACCTGATTCGTGATGATAACAAACTTATTCTATTGGCTTCCTTGAGCGATTCCTTGGAATATGTTGCAGACTCAATAGAAAGGCAAGTGATCCTATCAGTTGGCACTCGTTAGTTTTGTATTCATTGTCAACCTTCGGCTCCTGTAGCCATATGTTTAAAATTTTCTTATTGTTTGTGAATAGCCTAGGTACTTGCTGTGATAATTCAGTTTTTTCCTTTTTCTAGGTTTGTTCATGTTTATTTCCCTCATTAGATTCATAATATTATTGAGCTTTTAATTAATTGTTTTGGGATATCCTTATGGAAGTATTCAATTGACCTATTGATTTTATATTGATGAATATAAAAAATCTAAATTCCCATTTCAGTTATTTTGTAGCAATCTATTTCAACAAATGAAGACATGTTGAGATAGTTTTTTTATTTTTTTAACATATATATAGATACAAAACGGATCAATAGTAGTGAAATGGTTGAGTTTGAAGCAGTTAGAAGAGTGTGTTTTAGAATTTGTATGGAGGTGTCAATTATCCCATTAGGCTTTTTGGTGTCTATGTTTTTAGCATTAAAAGGCTTAATTAGTTAGTAAATTACAACTTCTCGTGATAACATGATGTGGCCTGATACTTTCCATAGTCTTAGGGCAGCTGTTTTAAGTTATAATATGCAGGGGTTTTCCAGAATTGTTATGGTTTCGACTACCCGATGGCTGATGTTAGCACAACTCTTTCAATGATAGGGTCAATTCAATGTTCGTATTTTTTCTACAATTTAGATTGTTTGAACGTAAAAACGTTGATCGAAATTGGGATGATTGGAGTTCGCATCCTGCAACTGATTCCAGAATATTTCTATTTTCGCCCATCTTCAGGCATCTTACGTCCTGCTTCTTATGTGCTTTAGGCTAGGGCAATCATCTTCCAAATTTGATGATCTTGTAGAAGATAACGAAACAAGGAAGCCCTTGAGTCATGCCAGAACAAATAGTGCACCTACTAAAGATCTTGCATCATTTTCTGAAGAATATAGAAGACTGGCAATTGACTGCCTCAAGGTTTTACGTGTAGAGATGCAGTTGGAGACTATTTTCCATATGCAGGTGAGTGAAATCTGTATCTTTTTTCCCACCCTGAAGTTCAAAGGATGTGTCCCTTTGGCTACTTTGTAAGGTAGTTGTCTTCATAGAAGAAATAACCCCTGTTGCAAACATCTGAATTTGTAGGAAATGGCAAAGAGGGAGTATTTGGATGATCAAGATGCTGAGGAGCCTGATGATTTTGTTATATCATTAACTTCAAAGGTGAGTTCTCATATCTAGATTTTTGTGGTACTTCGCTGGATGTTGGATTGTGATCGTGCGGAAATACCTGTATATCCTGCCACTTGTTGCAGCTGGATCCAGTTTAACATAGTTTTCCATTCTTGATGCTCATGTCCTATTTTGAGATGGTAATGTCACCTCTCAAACATGTTTTCCAGTACAAAAGTCCATTTTGAAAACTGTAAATCCACATCCAGGGACATTTAATGTATCTGGAATTCCACAAAGTTTTAGAAGTACAAGTTTTTGGATGTAAGCTGCAGAATGGTTCATCTTTTCATATCTTTCTTCTTACAACTAACATCTCTTGTATTTGACCTCATTCTGATTTCTATTTCGTCATAAATGCTTTAACACAGATCATGTCATTTAGGGTTTCACTAATTAGAAATGTCATACTATCTGCAGCCTATTGAACATTCTGAAGCTGTCAAACACGAGAATATTCTGGTTCATGTTAAGAGGAATTCTAGAGTCAATCACCACACCAGTAGTTGATAATCTAACTTGCTAAACTTGAAAAATTTCTCATTTCTTCCATAACTTTCAATAGTAAAGATTTCACTATACATTGCCCACTGAGATGAGTGATGTTATTAGAAGTAACTTGGCACTACACGTTATTTGTTTCTGTTTGTGATTTTAAGTTTTGGTCTGGTTCTACTTGTTAAAATTTGATATAGCATTTGGAATTTGGAGTTGGCCTTTGTGTAGCTTACAGATGAAGGTGCTAAAAGTATTCTTTGTTAGATCATTAGCCATGTTCATAAGGGATCCTAATTTTTGAATTAAGGAAATAATTTAGTGGGATGCAGTAATTTATTAGTATGCAAATGATGTTACACCTTGTGCGCCATGTTGTATACTTTCATGTCGTGTTATAAAAATTACTATTGATGTTTATTATATTTTTTGTGGGAGACGTCATGGTCATGAGAAGTAAAGCTTCTTGGTGGTTCAACGTCAAATGTAAGCTTTGCCGGAAGAATAAGGAGGACCTCCTAGTTGTTTTCTCTTTTATTAATTTCATCTTTACTAGCTCTCAGACTCATGTAGAGATGGTAATGCTGTTGTTATTTCCACCTCCCTTTCATGAAATCTTTGGACAACAATTAAGGATTGATTTATGTGGCAATTTATAGTATATCCCGCCCACTTAAATAAGCAAGCACATACTGAAGATTTTTTTATGCAACATAGGTAACACGTCGAGATGAGGAAATGGCACCATTTGTTGCGGATGTGAAGCGGAATTACATATTTGGGGGAATATGTGGCATTGCAGCTAATTTGTCGATAAAGGTTTGTTGTCACTTGTGTTGGAATGTTGTTACCCCCACCCGCCCCTACTCCCAAAAAAAAAAAAAAAAGGAAAAAGAAACAACAAACATTCTCTCAATGATCACTAAAAGTAACTGCCATCCTTTCTTAGGCCTTGTCTGAAATGAAGTCTATCAACCTTTTTGGCGTTCAGCAGATTTGTCGTAATTCAATAGCACTGGAACAGGTTTGCTACTAAATACTCTTTCCTGCCCTCCAGCTGCCTCTAGGGAGTTGACAATACTCCATAGATGATTCTGCACTTTTTTTACATGTTGCAATACAAATGTTGAAATATGCATGTGACAAATAGATCTAATTTCTGACATTACATGCCGGATAATAGGCATCATGAAAAATGTGTAAGCATGTATTAGCAATCCCATAGGCATAGATGCCATTTGCTCAGGTAATAAAAATTTATGCCCCAATGATTAAGAGATGATCGTTTTGCAAATGATAAAGGCAACAGCTGGCGCAACTGAAATCTTCTCTTTTTCCTTGTTCTGCCGGTCATATTTGTTTCAGTTTCTTTATTTATTGCTTTTTGTCAAATGGCGAGAAGGGGAAATTAGCAGTCAATGGTTATCAGGGTTTGGGTTGGGGGCCACATATTGTCCTAAATGAGTTCACACTTGATTTTTTTTTTTTCTCCTTTGATTGGATAGGCAGTGGTGAAAGCATTAAAGGAATAAATAGGTCTAAGCTTTGAACCGTAGTCATGCCAGTGAAAACCCTTGAAAAAGTAAGAGTACTACTTGAGCTGGAAGGTTTCTGGTACTGAAAGTCTAGAATTTTATGCTGAGTTAGGCACACTTTTTTCATTCCCTTTTAAGTCTAGAATTTTATGCTGAGTTAGGCACACTTTTCAGTAAATGTATCAATGAATAAATTATGAGAACTTGATATGACCATGAAATGGTGACTCGCTCATTCGTATAAGCATGCTTTGTAACAGGGATAACACATGATTTATATCAGGCTTTCACCTAGGTCTTTGCTCATTGATTTTGTTTCTTTTGTCTAATTAACATAATAAGATCAAATCATTACCATTTATAATTTGTAAAATGCATGGCTTATGATTAGCATGAACAGGCGTAACTGATACTTTCTGCTGACATTTTTAGGCATTAGCTGCTATTTCATCAATTGATAGTGAAGATGTACAAATGAGGTTGGATCGTGTACGGACATATTATGAATTGTTAAATATGCCCTTTGAGGTAATTAATCTCATGCTACTCATTTCCAGCAGTTTGACATCTCTCTCTCTCTCTCTCTCTCTCTCTCTCTCTCTCTCTCTCTCTTGATAAACGGGAGCTGAGTTGTTTCTTTTCCAGGCATTGCTTGCATTTATTTCAGAGCATGAGCACCTTTTCACAGCCACTGAGTAAGTTTCCCCAACATCTAAAAAAATTTCATAGGCTAATAACTAAAGTGAAATATGATGTTGAGGTCGAACCTGATTACAAGAAATACATTTTTCTTTCGAAATTACTGACCTCCTTTTATGATGGTAGCATATTCTTTAAGTGTAAGTGCATGCTTGGATACAATTTTTTTAAAAAGATATTCAATTATTTTTAACATTTAATTTTTTTTAACTCAAATCTAACTCAACTTTAATTTCAACCCCACTATCCTCAATATTATCAATATAATTATATAATACAACTCAATAATTCTACACATTACATAATTTTAACTAACCGTTACTTCACAGTATTTCTCTCCTAATTTTACATCAAATCAATTTTAATTATTTTATTTTAAATATTATTTTAATATAAACTCAAAATCCCATTAACCACTAACCATACCACTTTTATCAAAATTAACAATACAAAACTAAAAAATTCAAACAAAATAAAAAATTCTTATATCCAAGCATTTCCATACTAAGGGTACAACTTGCTATATAGAAAAAAGAAAAACAATCTAGGGGGTACTTGTGATTATGGAAGTTGGAGGTGGCTTTTAGTGAATTGTTCTGATTTTCAAGGTGCAAAGTTGTTCCGATCTGGGAACTAAAATTTCGGTTGGCAGGTACGCAAATCTTTTGAAGGTCCATGTCCCAGGAAGGGAAATTCCTGATGATGCACAGGATCGCGTGAGAGAAATTATGGCTCACTAAGAGTTGGAATTCAATTTGTATATGTAAATGCCCCCTCGTGAAGAGTAAGGTTATTAGACGAAATATGGAGAGTTGGAGACCTTGACCTATTCCTGCATGAAAACAAAATGAAGTGGGGAGCAAATTTGTGACATGATATCTCTTATTCCAGGTATATGTTGTGATTAATTCTTGTAAGACTTCAAAAAATATTGGGCCATCCGATGCTCGTTATTTGATCTTTCTGAGTTCATCCCGTGTACATTCAATTTTGTATCACTGCTATTGTTTGGTTTCTTTGTGGGTATGTTTCTGGGTAGATATGAGGTGATGGTTATTTATTGAATAGCTTACAATTTGAATCACTTGAAGATGTGTATTTTTTTGAGACACTTGAAACAAAAAGGACGACTCGGTGAATGTGTACCATCTCCTTTATTGTTCTCCCTTGTGGTCTCTGGTTATACATCTGCAATTCTCTCTCTCTTTCTCTCGCGCACACACACACACACACACACACACACACACACACACACAACACACAACACACACACACACACACACACAAAACTTATGATTTGTTTGTTTTTAAAATACATTTAAAATAAAAGATGCCACTCTTACCAAAAGAAACATCGAAAAAGTTGTATTTTTGCAAAGAAACATCTTGTAATTTTTATATGAAAACAAAAATGTACAAAAAAAAAAAAAAAATTCTGGTGAACTGCTAGAACTGGCCTTAGCTCGTCTACAATAGAACTATTAAGAGGCGATTGGGACCTAACGTGTTCACAATGTAGCCAACTTCGAATCTTTTTACTAAGCGTACTGCCCAATTCATAATTTTTTTTTTTTATTGCATTACATGCGTGTACTGCTTTAGTGGTTCACACCGTAGCCAAAGAGTTCGTGCATGGAATATGTTCATGGTGGGTAAAAATGCATTTTCTTGTGTTTAGATAATGTTATTATAATTTGTTTTTTAAGTGATTATTCAAGTATCCCCAACACTATAACTATGGAAGGTTGGATTGAATTCACACTTCCATATATTTGTTTTTTATGAATTCACAATTTTATAAATATATATATATATACACTGTGATTGAATCCTCATGAAATTTTCTAAAGCCGTGATTTTTTGACAAGACCTTTTCGGTAGGGTTTTCATGAGCTTTTGAACTTGTCTTGTCTCTGAGACCTCTTCACCAAGCATGGTGCCTTGGTTTACGAGATTTCATAAACGAGCATAGTACATATCTATAGTCTTGTCTTCTCTCGTCCTAATTTCATCGAATTTCGTAGTGATCCTTTGTAGCTTTGATGACTTCACGGCGTTGGTACCTTCAATTGCCTCTCGGGAATTTTTCATGCATCTCGTGTTGTGGTGCACTGGATGATCATCTCGTGACAAGTTGGGTCAATCGTTGTCATATTGCATAGAGAGCACAAAAATTTGCTTCATCGGCTTGCTTATTTGCCAAATATCTCTCGGTTTTTCAACAAGAACATGAGGACCAACATTAGAGGATGATGATCCTTCCTTCTTCGTCGAGGGTGATTTCTCCATCAAATTCAAAGGTGTTGACTAACCAGTCTCGATAATTTGCCGAGTCCCTTTACCGAAGGACCGTAGAAAAATTGTCATCATGAACTTCCAATAAACATAATTATGGAGGATGCGAAATGGACATGTCGTCGTGGTTCATAGTGCCCAACTAATGGACAGTAGATCTTTATCCCGAGGTTAGGACAGAAACACTGCTCTAGTGCCAATTAAAACGATAGTGAGAGAGTACAGAGTATGCAGTATGATGTTGCAATACTAATATACAGAGTACGCAGACTGTGTTGCAACACACAAAAATAAATTGCGGAAGCACGAATATCAAAACAAATATGTCGTCGGAGAGTGTCACACTACCCGTCAGTGATCTTTCATTGATAAATGAGTTTCCGCGCACAAAGTACAACTTTGACTTACTGGACTTGGACTTCCTCCTAACCTAGCCAACACTATACCCGATCCTATCAATTACTTCATTGGCCACAAGCACGTGGACTTCACAATTAGCTATGGATCCCTTCCAGCTAAACAAGTACTTAATCTCTAAGTACTCAAGTGTGTTTGTAAAAGCATGAATAAACAAAACGAACTCAGTTATTCAGCAATGTAAGAACGTTGAAGTGGTGAGACGAACAAAATAACAAGAATAAAAAACTCTCAAACACTCATTTGAATATAATGAATGATGAACTCGATTATTGCAGCAGCTATCTTTAATTGATTGTTTGAGTAGACTTATATACAATCTTCTTAAGGTAATGAGTCTTCACAAATTTCTCTTTTTCCTTTTACGAGTCAATTTTCTTCTCAACTGATTCCTTTTGGATTTGGACGAAATTCTTCCTTTAGAGTAACCTTTCTTGAGTAGAATTCGTGTATGTGATTTGGAGATCTTCATAATTGACTTATTAATGGAGATTTTGTGTTTCCAGACTCATTTAAGAACACGACTTTAAAAATAGTCGATCTTCCATGTCTCAAAGATCTTGCAGTAAATCTTTCCAAATTCTCCTTAGATCTTTTCTAGAACGTCCAATATTCTTTATGTATAGATGATTCATCATTTTATAGTCCTTGCCACTTATTTTTTGTCGTACAAGACAGAGAAAAACAGTATAGCATAAAATCAAATTCATCAATGCAAGTGGCATATATAGTAAGTAAATATATGTAAGATATATATTATGTAATCCTTTTCCTAAAGGTTTAGGACTCCATAATACATAGTATAATAAATATATACCATAAATTATAAGTAATAAATTGTAGAAACTTAATTAAATTACATGTTAATATATATATCCTTTTAATTTATTTTGCTAGACTAACAAGAAGATCTTATAGAAAATACTTAGGTTTGTCGGACGATGTCAAACAAATATATCACAAAATTATTATAATTTTATTAAATTGGTTAACATAAGTTATTAATCTAATTGGAAAAGGTTTTATTTGTGAGTATTTAATGGCAAGATTTTTAATTCCAAAAACTAAGGAAAAAATGGGGGAAATGTAAAAAGTTGTGACCAATTAATTTACTTTTTTTAGTAACACTTTTTTTGGTTAAAATTAAGTTTACATATTAATTTTACTTATGGCTTAGTATATATGTGTGTGTATGGTAGGGTACGTAGGGTTTTATAAAAATAAATTTTGTTGTGAAGATGGTACATGATATTTTTATTTCTGAAGATGGTACATAATATTTTTATTTCTGTATGATATTACTAGTACGAACCTCGTGCGATGCGCGGATAAGATATATTTATTAATACTTAAAATTTAAAATGCTCAATTTGAATAATATTTATAACTTAAAAATATAGAATCAATATGCAATACAATTTAATTATCTATATTAATTTATTGAAAATGTTATATGTTTTAAATTGTACAAAATTAAGTGACTTGTAATAAATTACAGTATATACATTTCAAAATAATTGTCATTTTAAAATTTTTATTCAGAAATTTGATTTGACTACAATGTAATTCCATGAAATAATTATTTTCATAAATTTTTATCATATATTTAAAAATCTATGTGAATAATAAGTATAATTATAACACTTATATTGCTCCATTAATTAAAATGAATTTTATTCTTTTATAAACTATCTAAATTAAAAAATTTAAGTAGTTGACTGATTTATTAAACTCTAATTAATTAACTATTCTATTTACGTTCAAGTTAATATTGACCCTTAATTGATGAATAATTACTTATTTGACTTTTAAATTTGCAACTCAAAATTGGATTACACAATAAATTTCACTTATATTTCACACACACACACACACATATTATCTCGCAATTTTCTAGATTTGTTATCAGTTATCTTATCGTTCAAATTTATCATTTATTTCTCTAGAATTAAATTACAAATTTTAAATTTTGTAACCATTATTTCTTCAAAGATTTTTATGATTTTCAAAAGGAATACATAACAATTTACTGAGTTATCATCAATATCTTATGACAAATTATCATGGGAGTATGTTAAAATTTGAGATTCATGTCACCTTCATTTATTACAAATCACCTAAAATTCGTGTTAAGGAATGATCCAGAAATTTGTTTCCATGTAAATTAAAAAGTTCTAAAAAACATAAGCACTAAATATATAAATTGCGGTTAATAAAATTCCATATTAATTAAAAAGTTCCAAAAAAATAAACATTAAATATGGAAATTGCGGCTATTATATTTCTAAAATTAGTAAAAAAAGATTATTTTTTTTTGGAGAGAAATAGTTACTATTTAAAAAATAATCAAACCTTTTTATATAGTTTTTAATATCATGTGGTCAATAATGATCACCTATCCATGGTGAACACGTCTTAATTTATCTACCGCTTATGTGGCATGCACACATTGATAATGTATTTTTTTAATATATTAACATCACCAATGTGTGCATGTCACATAAGCGGTGGGCATATTAAGATATGTCAATCGTGGGTAGGGAGCATTACTCATCATATGGTACTGTCTATACGCATATATTATTACTTATGTAGTGTTGTTTTTAAAATCAAATTCTAATTATAAATAACATCTAATTATAAATATAATACCATCGACTTTCATGTACTGTCTTCGCCTTTTCGGCGCCGATTCGTGAGCCCCGGTAGGCGGCTTCTCTAGTTTGTGGTGGATGTGGTCGGGGTGCGGTTATGTGGGCGGTACATGGCTCGGTCGTTCTGCGGCGTTACTGTCGGGCGGTCGGAGCTATGCCACCGTTTTCGGCCTTCTCCGCCCTGTACTCTGGTGTTGAGTCAATGTGGACCAGTTGTAACGCCCCGAAATTTATTAATAAAGAAAAATACTAGCTTTTAGTTTTAAGCTAGCCTTTGTTAATAAATAATCATGTTTATGTTCAAGCTCAGGTTAATTAGTCAGTTATATTCCAAGTTCGACTATTAGTCGATAAATTATTCGGTTAATTATTTC